CGGCGAATTTTCGTTCCTAGTTGCGCACGTAGTTGCGCAGGGAGGTGGACAGGGGGGGGGGATTTTTCTTTGGCCAAGCCGGGTGTCCGTTGTTCATTGGCATGGTATTTTGTTCTCCGCGTTTTTTCGTCAGACTGCCGGGTACCNGGGGGGGGGTATTTTTCTTTGGCCAAGCCGGGTGTCCGTTGTTCATTGGCATGGTATTTTGTTCTCCGCGTTTTTTCGTCAGACTGCCGGGTACCTATTATTGGGGTGCTGTGTGCGTTGGCCCGGTATTGTGTGCGGTGTTCGTGTGTAAGTATTTCCGGCGTTTTCGCCACACCCAACGCTCCAGGGCGTCCTCATGTACATCGAGACAAGTACTTCAATGTTTACATATACATGCCGGCCGTGCCTGCATGCGACACCCCATAGCACGACGGTATCAGCGGCCAAACTCATTGTTACTGTAGTTGCCGTGCTACTGTCGCTATTCGACCATTCTTGCATTTTTTTCTTCGGGAATCAGGAGAGTTGTGCACTGCTAGGTGAGGGTCCCGACTCCAACAGGCACAAGCGTGTGCGGTGCAACAACAGAGGGGCACCACCAACAGCAATTTCAGTTCAAACCTAGCTGACGCCATTCAAGAGTACTCCACCTATGGTTGGTATTGCAGCACAATTCTAAGTGCTATAGTCTACAACCAAAAGATCAGCAGCTAACATAATCAATGCTCGGTGTTGCCGGCACTGTGTCAGGGCATAAGCACGGTGCCTGTATGCGAACGCAAGTTTTCAACTTCATTCGTGCCTACCTCTCGATCCTCTGCACCAATCAAGTTGGATTCTTATGCAATCTATTATCTGGCGCTCAGTCCGTCTTCCATCAATTTTTTGTGGGGATTGATGCTGTGGTGGGCGCGTTCTCGCGCCTGGTGTCTTTGGCGGGTGCATAGCAGCGTGGTTGCGCCGCGTAGATACCATCGGCACGTTTTTTTCGGGCACGGGCTGCGGGTTGCGCCGACATGTTTGAACCCTACAGTGGACGGAGTTCTGCAAATCTTGGTTCCCTAGATAGCTATTGGAATAGTCTACTGCTGTAAACCTTTAGCCTTTGGTGGATGTGCGCCGGTCGCGCTACTCTTCTGTGTAAGCCGATATTTTTTGTCCCGCTGCTTTTTTTTTTTTTCAGTCGTGCAGCACTGAACCATGCCTGCTTGAGACGTGAAGTTGTTGTTGTTGTTGTTGTTTCTCACATTAGCTCTAGAAAAGATAGATTGGGAGCCCGTGGTCTCAAAACCCGGCATACACGACCCCACGAAGAAACAGAAAAAAATAGGGTACAAAAAACCACTCGGAAGAGAAACAAAATGATAGAAAAAAAGACCAGCTACTGCACCAAACGAGAAAGAGCGTCGAGGAGACCGATCAAAATAAAATAAAAGGAGAACGGGGAACGCTTCCCACACCCGTCTACAACGCTGGAGGGTTCCGTGCCGGGTTCCCGCCGACCAGGCATCGAAGTGTCATGCTTGGTGTGGTACCGTATATGACACAAGATAATATACCCCCTGGACCGATTTTCAAAGCTCGATTACTCCACGACGAAGAGGATGCATCAACGAAATGATACATTTTCGAAAAGCTATCGATGAGACGGTTTCAACACCCCCGTTATCGGCGCTGCGACTGTTTCTTGAGTTGAAAAATCGAGCTTCGATAATCGGTCAAGGGGGTGTTTTATCTTGTGTCATGCGGTATGCACTGCGAAGGGGATACACAGAATGACCCGCCTTGGAGGCTGGTGTGCCAGTCCAATGCGGTGCTTGTTGCGCCGCATCTGGTGGGTATCATGGATCCCGACCTCCCGACACACGACTCGTGTCTACTATTGTCGTGGCGTTGCCCTTGACTTAGGGTGTGAGAGGTGAGCGCGTGTTCTGCGCTGTGAAATACCACTATAGACCCGGCAACTGCCGTGAAGTGAGGGAGAGCATGGAGAAAAACGGAAGGCTGTTCCAGCCCGGCAGCAACAGCGGCAGCAACACCGGGACACTTGCGCCTGGCCGAGTTCAGCTTGTCCGGCCAAGGCAAGAGCGCCATGTGGCAGTAGGGGTGGGTGGTTGTCGTGTGCATGGGAGTCGCTTGCAGGGGAGTGGGAAACATCATTAAATGAAAGATGGTCGGTGCCACGTTACTCGTGCTGCCGCACATATGCATATGATGGATCCAAAGCAGGGATGTGTCAAACGTACGGTATCCGTCCCTACAGCATTACGCGCGTCGATCATGCACGCTGCTGTTTCGTCTTTTTGTGGCTTGTCGGGAGATATACTGCTGCATCATAGATGTGCTTATACCCAAGCCAGAGGTGACAACAGCTGCAAGTGCCTACTGCCATCAACGCAGCAAATATTCGGAAGCAAGTCGTCAGTGCAGCTGCTTGCGTTTATCCACCGGCTTCTACTCCCCAGCCTGCTATTTACCAGAACTGTACTCAGTGTGGCGCGTATTTGGAAAGAATCGACAACGAACGTAATAGGACAGCTAGATTCTAACACGAAACGGGCGGGAGAAGGCGGCCCGGGGAGAGTGGTAGCCCAGTGCTGTTGTATTCCAAGGCGGCACCTCAGCCAATCGAGCCCCGCCTGGGTAGCTGTATGGAGGGAACCTCTTGTGGCTTTCGCGAGGCCGAATTGGCGTTCCCCTGCAGCTCCGTCCCACCCCCAACTGTCGATGCGCACCCGCGGGACTGCGGCCTGAAGAACGTCTGTTACTATGTTGAGGATTTGCGCCGTTGCTTCCAACCCTCAACCGTGATTTCGTTTGTGTTGTCGGGCCTTGCAGCACAGCGCCGGAGGTGGACTATGGCGACGCGCACACCGTAGACGAGAGGGGACGGAGGTGAGTTGATTATTGTTGGTCCATTCTCGCCGCACCTGGCGTCGGACGACACCGGGTGGGCGTCAGGTGTTCACACCGAGCACCGAGGGAAGCGATACAACCAGGTACGTGCGGAAGTTTCGACCTACATGGCCTGAGGGCGGGCCGAGCTGGCGTAGCTCTGTGGTTTATTGTGTGACTTGAGAAGCCCTCACGCGTTACATACACTGTTTCACCTATTTTTTTGCATGCATCCAGCCCGTCCCTCGCCCCCTTGACAGCGAGCGATCGCTGGACGGGCAAGAGCCGTAGTGCAACTGGGGTGATAAGTGGCCATGCGCATGTTTCCAGACCTTATATCCTGATCCATTCCATTCCATGTATCTATCCATTCAGAACTATCCACCATCGCTGTGCTGGGATGTACTCGTGGGGTACTCGTGGAAAACCTTGAATCCCAGCTGCCGTCCCCGTGGTACTGGACCCTGCCGTTGGTTTCGGTTGTTGCCTGCGGAAATTTTAGCGGCCCAGAGTGATGCAAAGGATGTGAACGGTACCAGATCCAAGCCCCCCCCTACCCTACAACTCTTGCGCCCTATCCTTCTCCTATTTCTCGCAATGTGCAGAGTGCTGCACGAGATGAAGCGCGAAGCGGAGTTCTGGGCCATGCGAGCTGGCGTGCAGGAACGGGTGTCGGCTGCTGGGTGAGCTACCAACGGGAATGACGTGCGTGTGCTTGCTATTTGCGAGAGA